TATCTTTTAAAATTTATCTAAAATCTCAAATAAATATCTAATATATTTTTTAAAATCTCTTTAAAATCTCAAATAAATATAGTTGCTAATTTCATAGCTTTAATATCTTTTCAACGCAAAATTGAATAAAGTTAAAGTAGGTAAATTGGCAATTTTATTATATTTTTTTACTGCTATTATTAATGTTGCTCCTTGTAAAATAAATAGAAGAAAAATAGACAGAAGAATAGCAAAAAAAAATTAATTAAAGATGAAAATGAAAAGTAGAAAAATGTCACCAAAAGTATGAGGAGTTTAAGCTGAGGCGTTTAAGTTGAGGCGTGGATCAATCACTCTTTTTAGGACGTTTCGTGCCATTGGTGCAGCAGATTTTTATGGTCATGCTGCCCCCAAGATACAACAACCCAACCTTCTTATTGTATCTTTATACGCACTGCACTTTTGTAAAAAAAGCTCTACCCCACCACCTTTTCCTTTGCCCAAAGAAAGTTCGTATACTGTGTTTTTTGGAATAAAAATGTAGAATGCAAAAAAATGTATCAGCCTTTGGTAGACATGGAGGCTGCCTATTTATAGGCCTTCACAATGTAACTGCCTATTTATAAGCCTTCACAATGTAACTGAAGTAGACAAAATATTAAATTTGAAATTAAGGTTTTTTCCGGTTATCAAAAATGATTTGAAACTGATGTACTAATATCTTGGTTTAAACCATTTGAAAAGCAGAAACGCATGAGTCCTTTCAATAAGACAAAAATGCATGGATTCTTCTTGAAAACAAAAAACGCATGGATTTGTAACTGTTGATTTTTTGGAAAAAAAGACTCATAATCGATTGGAAATGATTTTGAAAATAATGAGATTTGTCGATTACAATTTTTAATTAAAATTTACAATATTCCCCCTCCATTTTAATTAAAAATAAAAGAAATTTAGAAGATGAAACATATATAGGCAAGGTTGGATTACTATGCATAATAGAGGTAGTAATGCCTTGAACCTTTACTTAGTGAGTTAATGATTTCTATCCCAAAGTCACTAGTGAACAAAGTCTTGAACTAGGACTACTCAGAGGAAATAGGAGACCATATCACACACATAATAATTCAGGTGTTAATTTGAGCTTGTAGGTCGGCACATTACGGCCTTTGTGCCTAATCCCGGTATTCATGGATGATCTAGAGAATAGCCCTATTCTCATAGGAGCGGCCCCACTCCGATATCCATATAGGTGAAATTTGTCAAGGGTACTCCCATAACTAAGACACCCCACTCAATGAGCTACAAATTTCATTAAGAGTGTATAACACTCAACCCTCACATACATTATGGGATAGATGCATCTACACCTTAGGAATGGGATAAGAATTAATTTTTTTTTTTTATGCATCTTTCAACAACGACCTCTCTATGATTCGTTTTTCTCATTCAAAACCCAAATTCTCAAGAATTGGGTTGGGTATCCTCATAGGAAGTTCCACATTCTTTGGGCTTCAATCCCATTCCCCTTGATGTAATCTAGATCTTCTCTCTGGCCAGAGCTTTTGTAAATAGATCAGCAGTGTTTTCACTTGTTGGTATATAATCCACGTGGATTGTCCCATTATCCAAGTAGGACCTCGCAATACTATGTTTCCTTCGAATAGATTTGGATTTACCATTATAAAAACGGTTATTCACCTTATAAATGGTAGTAGTACTATCACAGTGAA